TGGGTTTCCAAGGCAGTATCACTACGGAAGTAGATTGTCCCATCTTCCTTCTGAGGAGTGGCTAGTGGGTTTGAACTGCCAGCCATCTGGTTAGCATCAAGTGCCTTAGGCACTATGCTACCAGAGCTCCTACTGTAGACACAGTAGCCTATATTTTAGGATGGCATCATATGTGGGACATGTGGCACAGATATTTCACAGCTTGAAAATTCTTATAAATATGAAGGTAAAGTGTATTATTTAAGGATCTTTAATTGTAAATACCAGAAACCAAGTAAAGCCATCTGAAAAGAAAGAAAACTAAAAGCAAACCCACTGCCATCAAGTTGATTCTAACTCATAGCAACTCTTGTTGGCTTTCCAAGGCTGTAAATACTTATGGAAGTAAATTGCTTCATCTTCCTCCTGACGAGCAACTGGTGCGTTTGAACTACCAACCTTCTGGTTAGCAACCAAATGCCTTACCAACTGCTCCCCTAGAGTTCCTTCTGAAAAGAGTGAGAGCTAATTCATTATAAAGACCTGAGGTGGTTCATAGAATCCAAGGGCAGGAAAGCTATCAGGCCTTATTGTCATTGTTAGCTGCTGTCAAGTTTGGTCCCTGACTCTGGTCCACCCTATGTACAATGGAACTAAATGCTGCCATGCTGCACCATCCACATGATTGGACGCAGATCAAACTGTTGTGGTCCATGGGATTTTTCACTGGCTGATTTTAAGAGGTACGCCTTTCTTCCTAGTCTGTTTTAATCTGGAAGCTATACTTGTTCAGCATTATAGCAACATACACACCTCCACTGACAGGTGGTGGCTGGTACCACACCACAAGAGCTCCTATTTTACTGTAGACACGTTTGTTGTTGTTATGTACCGTCAAGTCGGACTCGACTCATAGTGACCCCTCCTTGGCTGGAAATTGAACCTGGCTCTCCTGCATAGAAGGCAAGAATTCTGCCATGGAAACCCCACTGCCCTTGGGCCTTAGAAACGGCTCATTCAGAACTAGAAAATTTCAGTACTCTCTTTATCTCTGAGCTTTGTTTTTCTACCCGGTCTGCTTCATTCTCAGCTCTCTCTCCACACAGAAGAAAATCTCACTGGCAAACTTAGATCAGTTGTTTATTTTCAGTCTAATCAATCATCACCATGGGAACAAAGTGAAATAGTATCTATAAATGTGGCTGTCAGACCCCACCCCAGGGAACCACTCTCAGAAAGGGTATGAATTGCACAAAAACCAAAAGAATTATCTGCCACACAGAAATACTATTACATTACCAATCCTTATCCACATGTTTATTTAGAGACAACTTTGAGAAATACTCCTGGATTTATTGTTTAGGAAGCATTGAATTTTTATTTATGAAATGGAGAATTTAGCAAATATATTGGTGATAGTTGCACAACATGATTGATGCAATTGATCTCAATGAATTGTACACTTGATAAATGTTGAATTGACCAACGTTGTGTTATATGTATTTTTACAACAATGAAAGAAATCACAACATTCTCTACTGGGGGGAAAAAAAACTTTAAAAAATAACTAAAAAGAATCCCTCCCCCAAATCCAAAGGATTATTTTTAGAAAGTGATAAATGATGAGGCAGGCAATAAATAAATACCTAAAGAAAAGTTGTGTAAATTACTCATTCTTATTGTGAGTTGTGTTTTGAATAATTTCTTCATTATGCCAATATAGTATAAGGAAAAGAAAAATGGACATGAGTCAGAAGCTTGGGTTTAAATCTGTGTTATCAGTTAATGGTCATGTGACTGTAAGCAATTCACTCTGATTTTTCAGCTAAATGAAGCAATTTAAAATAGCATCCATATACTCTTTAACTCTAATATAATATTTCTAGTTGGTGAGAAACAATTGCTTAGAAATTTCTTCTCAAGTTTATTAACTGAAGACAGTAAAAATGGTTAAAAGATGGGCTATTGATGCCTTGTTGTTGTTGTGTGCGGTCGAGTCGGCCCCGACTCATAGCGACCCCTCCTTGGGTTTCCGAGGCAGTATCACTATGTAAGTAGGATTGCCCAACCTTCCTTCCGAGGAGTGGCCAGTGGGTTTGAACCGCCAGCCTTCTGGCTAACAGTCAAGTGCCTTAGGCACTACGCTACCAGAGCTCCCTATTGATGACTACACCTCTGAATTTGATTTTGGCCTTGCCAATACTTAGCAGTTTGACCACATGCAACTTAGTAAAATACTTAACTCCCTAGGTCCCAGTTTGTTTGTCTGTAAAACAGTGACTGCTTTGGTGGAGTTTTGTGACCAATGAATAAGAAAGTGTATGCAAAGTACCTGGCTCACTGTGGGTGTTCAATTCTTGCTTTTATTCTCAGGCTTTGAAAACCCCTGAACTCATCTGTATCATACTTTATTCTTTTGTATAAATGTGCACGTAAGTGAAAATTAAATTCTAATACTCTTTTTGAAAGTGCTCTGATGACATAGACTAATGAAAACAAAATGAGATTAGAGATCTAGAGATGCTAGAGAATTACACCTCCAGGTCACTCACAAACTCAGTCTGCTCTGAATAATTTTTATTACCTTTGTAAAATATGACTTTCCCATATCTTCCTGGTCAGATGTGAAAGCATGGAGCTGGACAATAAAATCCGAGATCTGATTGAGAGGAATGTTTCTCCTGATCTAAAAGGAGTCACCCCAGAGACAATATCCAGTCACACAAACCCACGTTCTCTAAAGGTAAGAAAACACCTTCTTTATAATTTTTCTTAGTATATCCTTAAATAGCTTGTTAACTAAGGAAAATTTATGGGATCAGTCTCCAAAACATTTACAGGCAGTCACTACTTCCTTGATGGCTGAGAAGATAAAGTGCACCAGTATAAAACTTCTTTTACGCAGTCACTTCCTGTTACTAAAGACATCTATTATCAAAACACACTTTCTACTTTAAAATGTGATACCAGGCAGCTGCGACTACAGGAAAGTGAGAAGGAGAACACGTTATCAGGAAGAATGATTAATACAGTGACAATTTTGGGGGGATGGGAGGTTGGCAGCTTAAACCCCACTTAAATTAGGTTACCTAAACCTGTGCAAGTAATGTTCATGTTTTAAGAATAAGGCTTTACTAATTAAAGGAACTCTTTGACTTTGAATTTGCTCTTGTTTCATGATATTTGTCTATGGTGCTTTGTGTAAGCAAACAAAATCCAAAGATAAACTCCACTTAGAAATTTCTGGAAGATTTCGTCACTGTCAAAAAAGAAAGAAAAAGTTCATTATTGGGATTTGAGTGAAAAGTTACAGAGCAAATTCATTTTCCATTCAATCATTTTGTTTCATTACCACTTTGTTTCATTACATTGATTGTAATCCCCACAATGTAACAGCTGTCTTCCCATTTTCTCCCTGTGGTTACCTTTTCCCTGTGCCCTTCTTTCCTATGTATTCTTGCCTTCTGAGCTTTCACCCTGTGCAAACACTGTACATCTGGTCTCTCATGGTTTATTGTTCTAAGCAGTGTACATCCTCAGGTTTCTTGTTCACCTCTTAGGACTGCTTATTGTTTGGGTGAAAGTTAAGCCATGGAAACTAGTTCAATTCTAAGCCTGACAAGTAACTAGGGGCTATAGTATCAAAGGTTTCACCAGTCTGTATCAGATCAGCAAGCCTGGTCTTTTTTATTATGGTTTTGAATTTGTTCCACCTTTTTCTCCCACTCTATCCAGGATCTCCAATTCCGATCCCTTTCTGAGTGGTTGGCAATGGTAGCCAATCACCACCTAGTTCTTCTGGTCTCAAGATCATGTAGGCTGAGGTTCCTACGGCCCATTAGTCCCTTGGACTAATTGTTTTCATGTGTCTTTGATTTTCTTTACTCTTCTTTGTTCTTTATTGTCTGTATCACTCATATACTTCCCCATATCTTCCATTTCCTTAATGATATTGTGCTGGTCATCCACCTTTGACATATTGCCCTTTCCTTCACCCAAATTAACATGTGTGTCTTACCCCGCTAGAAACTTTCCCTCCCCACACTTCCCATTGCTGGTAACCAACAAAGAAAGTTTCCTTCCAGGTATAAACTTTTCCTTGACCTTTTTATAATAGTGGACTCATACAATATTTGTCCTTCTGTGATTGGCTTATTTTACTCAATATAATATCTTCCAAATCCATCCACATTATGCGGTGTTTCACAGATTCTTTATTTTTCTTTAATGTTTCATAGTATTGCATTGCATGTATGTACCATAGTTTGTTGTTGTTGTTGTTATGTGCCGTCGAGTCAAACCCGACTCATAGCAACCCCTCCTTGGGTTTCCACGGCAGCATCACTATGGAAGTAGGATTGCCAACCTTCCTTCCGAGGAGTGGCTGGTGGATTTGAACCATCAGCCTTCTGGTTAGCAGTCAAGTGGCTTAGGCACTATGCTACCAGAGCTCCTGGTAACCCATTTATCCATTGATGGGCACTTAGGTTGTTTCAATCTCTTTGATATTGTGCGTAGTGCTGCAATGAACATGGGTGTACATATATCTATTCATGTCTCAGCTCTCACTTTTTAGGGTATTACCTAGTAGTAGGATTGCTAGATCAAATAGTATTTCTATTTCCAATTTTTGAAGGAAATGCCATACAATTTTCCATAGTGGCTGTACCCTTTTACAGTCCCACCAGCAGTATATGAGACTTCCAAACTCTCCACACCTTTGCTGCATTTATTTTCTGCCTTGTTGAACTTTGTTGTTATTGCTGGGGTGAGATGATATCTCATTGTTGTTTTGATTTGCATCTCTCTAAAGGCTAAACATCATGAGAATTTCCTCATGTGTCTGTTGGCCACCTGTATAACTTCTTTAGTGAAGTGCTCATATCCTTTGCCCATTTCTTAACTGGATTATTTGTCTTTTTGATGTTGAGATATTAAAGTTTTCTATAAATTTTAGAAATAAATCCCTTGTTGGATATGTTGTTGTTGTGTTGTTGTTATGTGCCATTGAGTCAGACCCGACTCACAGAGACCCCTCCTTGGGTTTCTGAGGCAGTATTACTATGGAAGTAGATTGCCCAAACTTCCTTCCAAGGAGTGGCATCTTTGACAAATACTTTTACCCCATCTGTAGGTTCTCTTTTTACTCTTTTAGAGAAGTCTTTTCATGTGCCTCAGAATTTAATTTTTAGAAGGCCCCAGTCATCTACTTTATCTTGTGCTGTGTGTACGTTTTTGGTAATGTCTGACAGACTATGCCATAAGGTAGGGACCCTAAATTTACCCCTGTTTTTAATTTGGTGATCTTTATAGTTTTACATTTATTACATTTATGGTTGATCCATCTTTTTTTTTTTTTTTTTATTAGGATTTGGGTGAAGATTTACAGAGTAAATTCACTTTTCATACAGCAGTTCACATATACTTTGTCTCATG